AAATGCTATTTTGAAATTAAAATTACATTTTTAACATGCAATTTCACCTTGAAATTGCATGTTCAATATGCAATTTCACCACGTTATCATTTTCAACTTGCGATTTTAAGATGAAATTGCATGTTCAAGATACAATTTCAATTTCAATTTCAAAATCACATTTTAAAAATGTGATTTCAAAAAGTAAGTTAGCTTCTTAAATAGTTTGAAAAGTGTGTCAATTCACTAATTAGTTTCAAAAAAACTCGCCAAACATAACCTCGGTTTAATTCTTGAATTTGTCAATGAAATCGAAATAAAATAACTTATAAATAATTAAATAAAAATTAATTTTTTTTGACAATAATCTAATTATTTTTTCTGACCCAACAATTTTTTCCTCGTAATTATTATTATTATAATAATTATTATAATAATAATTATTATTATTTATTTTTTCTTTCTCGCAAATCTAAGATAACGATTTTTTGATCAATGCATGCAGTGGTGTTTGGTTATTCCAACCAAATACCATGGTGATATCTGGTCTAGATCACGGACAGATCTAGGATTTTGATTTTGGGGGGTCAAAGTACGTTTAATCTCTAATAAATAAAATTTAAAGTTCAATACCAATTTCTACTAATATGGAAAAAAAATCAATAATGTTACAATAAAGTATTGAACTATATATTCCTTGTCAACATAGTTGAGTATAAAAACATGATCATACAATTGAGAATATTTTTTTGTCCATATTCACTTATGAAAAGTAGTAACTATTTCTACATGCATTTATTTAATAAAATTAGGTATCTTCAATTGAGCTCGACGCATTTTCATAATATCAAAAGCATGAATGATAGAGTCTACATCAAACCCTTGAGTAATGTCTTTTTCAATGTACGTAATCAAGTAACCAGCCAGAAAACCATCTTCTATCCTATTGCGCAATTTAGACCTAATGAGTTTCATAACTGAAAATGCACGTTCTGATGTAGCAGTTGAAACAGGTAAAGTTAACACAAGGCGGATCAATCTATCAATAAGAGGATAACTTGTCGACTTTTTTGTTTTTGCCAACATTTGACATAACTCAGAAATGGTTGACAGCTTCTGAAACTTGGGAAGTATGGAAATATCAAGCTTATAGTTTTCCAACTGACATTTCAAATACAATTTTTCTTGCTCGGAGAAATCCATGGGATAAAATTTATTTGCAAGTTTGCAAATATCCTCAATTTTGAATGATCTATAACCATCCCTAGGATCCAAAGCTGAGCTAAGAACAAGCAATTCCATTTCATCTTACTTAAACCTATTGTTTAATTCTTGTAACTGAGAATCAACTGTAACCATAAAAATATCAACTCGAAAATAATGTTCCATGGTGAGTTGATCTCTTTCAGAATGAGACCGACTTCGGCCTCCTTTGTAAGGACAACTCATATCAGGAATCTGTATACCATGATCATTAGAAAATAATTTATTTTTCTTCAACAATGGAACCCATCCATATTCTCTAAATTTTTGGATAAGTATCTTCGTTGTAGACATCAAATGCATTGCATTAATATATCTTAAGATTTACTTTGCAAAGCTTGGCAAAGATCATCAGTAATCTCCATGATATCCCTCATAAGATGTAAGATGAAGACAAACTCAAAAGATGTAGTGGAATCATAAACTCCATTTGCCTCAGCTCGTTGATTCGATTTGCTTCTATCATTAATTATGTTTCTTAGGACTGCACAAGTAGCACTGAACATGTTTATCAAACTACAAATTGGGGGGCTACTCTATATAATTTTGAAATTATCTAAAAAAAAATTAGGGGTGCGAACTCCTATGATTTTAAATTATTTTAAAATTTCTAGTATAATATGGGTGCGAACTCCTATGATTTTAAATTATTTTAAAATTTCTAGTATAATATATGATATTTTTCAAATTTTTGGGGGTGCGGCCGCCCCCTCCACCCCCCTAGATCCATCCTTTGTACTCTTTGTTTAATTTATATTATTTATTTGGAATATTTTTTATAAATATTTGGAAGATCTTTGCATAGACACTAAGGTAGCAGAATGCAAGCAATTCCTCATAAACACAAGCTTCATATTTTTATGGAAAAATGTCCAAATGGTTGTGGTTTATTTTTATTTTATTTTCAAGGTCCGTAAATTCATCGACCTTTACATTATAAATTATGTTAAGTTTTCTAGTAATGCTACAATACACATAATATATCACATGCTACACATAACATATTACATGCAAATTACATAGTAAAGTCTCATAACTAAATTACTACCTTTTCATAATCAAAATTACCACGACATTTGGCTACCGAGTCACAACCAATACCATCATAACAAAAGCCATAAAAGTTATAACTGGCATATTTGAAGGTGTGTATCATAAATTTTCTTAGTTCTTCAACCCATAATCTTTATCGTTTCTTAAATCGAACGCAGTGATTAAATGCTACATAAGCAATCCAATGCTTATGACAAATATTTTCAGTGTTGAGAACTTGGGAATTTTTTTTGTGATACAATTTATCTAGATTTTATTTTGTTTTATTTTTAGGATTTTTTTTTTTTTTTTCCTTTTTATAATGAACATTGTTTAGTGTTATGGATATGTTTTGATCCATGATTCCAATTCATTTATTGATTTTTCAGTCTATATTTCTATAATTTTCATTATAATCAATCAATTTGAGTCTAGATTCTTACAATCTAGTAATGGGCTATGAATCTTTTTTTTTTTTGATCAGTAAAGAAAAATTTCATTTAACAGCATGAAATTAAAAGTACAGGAAGATGACATACATCGAGAGAGATTCGGAAGTATAAAAATACCCCTACTACTGCTACTCGCACCCATACAACCAACCCCTAAGCCTCTCGATTTTTTTAAACAACCAAGTTAAGAAGAATTTAACTGAAAAATTAAACTACATGAATCTCCACATAATCATCCCACCAAAACCCCCAAAACAAACTAAACAGAAACTAAACAACACCCTAGCAATCCCAACCACCCGCCCCAACCACCCAAAACAAAATCTAGTCTAATCTAGTCAACCCACCAAATCAAAGCAGCAGACCACGCCTCTGCCAAGACCCACTCCACCTGCTGCTACAACTCTCGAAGCCCCACGCCTCAGCTGCTAGCTCACGCTACCCCTAGGCTGCTGCAGCTCCCATCTCCCCATGCCCACATCGGTCGAGAATACTCCATAGCCACCACCGGGAAAGCTCCATGCTTCAACACCCCTACTGCAACACAAGAAAACTCCAAGCTGCTGCAACTCCGCTGCTGAAGACAGAGCTACACCCACTGCTAGGAAGACTCCAAGCTTCAACACCCATTGCCGATGACACCACACCCACAGATCACCACCCCCTGCTGAAAACACAACACCCACTGCCACCACACCCACATAACATCTCCCACCAGGTCACCAAACAAATGAAAGAAGATCACCCCTCAAACTCTTACACGAAGTGGAGCGCTCGAGTGCCCCAACCACCCAAAACAAAATCTAGTCTAATCTAGTCAACCCACCAAATCAAAGCAGCAGACCACGCCTCTGCCAAGACCCTCTCCACCTGCTGCTACAACTCTCGAAGCCCCACGCCTCAGCTGCTAGCTCACGCTACCCCTAGGCTGCTGCAGCTCCCATCTCCCCATGCCCACATCGGTCGAGAATACTCCATAGCCATCACCGGGAAAGCTCCATGCTTCAACACCCCTACTGCAACACAAGAAAACTCCAAGCTGCTGCACCTCCGCTGCTGAAGACAGAGCTACACCCACTGCTAGGAAGACTCCAAGCTTCAACACCCATTGCCGATGACACCACACCTACAGATCACCACCCCCTGCTGAAAACACAACACCTACTGCCACCACACCCACATAACATCTCCCACCAGGTCACTAAACAAATGAAAGAAGATCACCCCTCAAACTCTTACACGAAGTGGAGCGCTCGAGTGACAACCGGACAGAACAGGATGACCCCTCAAATTCTGAACCAGAATGCACCCCTCAAGCTCCATTCGCCAAAAGCGCACGAATGAAATATCTGAACGACGGAGGACAAACCTGGACGGCCCCTAAATAAGACCCTGGACAGCAAAGAAAGACACACCTAGGTGGAGAAAATGAGGGACTCAAATTTATTGAACGAAAAAACTAACAGGCAAACCGAAACGAGCTAGGCCAGCCGACCGCCATAGCCAAAGGCGGCGGCCAGCCGGCCAAAAAAGAGGCCGGGGAAGGAGGTTTTTAGAGAGAGAGAGATAGAGAGAGAAAGGGAAGGAGGTTCTGGAGCTCCTACATGACTGCACAGCTAATGACCCTTAACCCAATTATTTAGGCCATTATATATGTATATATATATATATATATATATAATTACACTATGGATACGTTCTGGATTGTTTGTTATAATCAGCAAAATGATTTATTTATGCTCCCTTATCTTCTTTTTATAACCTAGCCAATCCTCTTCTCTTGATGGCGTGGAGTTTTATCCTCCATTTGGAGGGAATGGAATTGAGTTTGATTTTCTAAAAAATATAGGAGATTAAACTATTACAGGCTGATTGAGATATGAGTGCACTATAAATTAGTGATAGAAGCTAACTTTTTTAATAGAATTTTAGTAGCATGAAGAATTCCAAATAACCACTTTTATGTTATTTTTTTCAAATTAATCCTGACAAAACTCTAAAATTATCAAATTTAAATTTGATTTATTCTCTTTAAATTATTAGTGCCAAATATTTTCACCGCAGAACTGTAAATCCAACCGTAACTGTGGTGTGACATCACAGGCAAATCCACTTTTGTTTTTTAGATGAGAAGCCAAGTTGATTGGCTATAGTTGTATATTTGTGCATGTATATTTTGTTTTATGTATCTATAGAGCATTGCGTCTAAAAATTAGACTCATTTTTGAGGTATAATGTAATCAATTGGGATATCTAAGGCAACTTTTTCTCTAATATCTTTACTAATCATTAACCAATTATATCAATCATGACCAATCATTTCAGATCATTGGATCTTAGAAAATGGGTATCTATGTGAAAATTATGTCTACATATCCCTTTCTGAAATACAATACAGTGATCACCCCAAGATCACTCTAATGGAAGTGTCAATTGGCGAAGAGGGTGTACATGCACTTACCTGCCAAGTAATATGCAAATGCTTATTTATTTAATTATTTATTTTTATTAGGTTTGAGAGATGGTTTGCGGAAGCAATCAAGCATTGCCTCTTAATCAGAAGGATAATTGTTGTTATTAGCCCATTGATTGTAAAGCTCTACCGTTGGTTCCTGATTGTCTTCTCCATTGATCATGCCTTCAGTCTGAAATGGTCACACAATAACCACACAAATAACCAATTACTGTTCTTTTATGGAATTTAATTTCTTGTAGTGTAATCAAATGATTCTATTCATGCTGCTAATTTAATTTATTGTAGTTTAATTGAATGATTCTATATATACTGCTATATAAGGACACCACTCAACATGCACAAAGACACTCTAATATATATAAATATATATTATTTATTTATTAACTACTTGTCCTGTGGCTAGTATACGATTCTTACTGTGCTTTTTATACATTTATTTTTTTTTTCTTCTTACTATTCAATCTAGTGATCATATCTATGTTTGTGTGTGTTTGTAAGGACTTCATTTGTTTTTGTTTTGTGAACAATTTTGTGACTCTTATGCTGTGTTTGGTTGGGGGATTTGAGAAAAGATTTGGAAAGTAAAATGGAAAAGGTAGGTGAAATGAGAATAAAATATGCCTAAATTTCACATAGTTTCACACACCTTTTCCCTTTCCCTTTCCCTTTCCAAATCCTCCAACCAAACACAGCATTAATGTCTTTTTCATACCTGCATTTCATTTATCATTTCACTTATCAACTTTTCTTCTTCTCTTAGCCTCCTTTCCTGAAAATGAAAGCAAAAAGTCATTCAAAAACCTTCTCCATATACGCATGTAATAGATTGGGGGCTTGCACAAATGATGCAGGCTCCTTGAATTTACTTTCAATTAATTCTGAAAATATTGCATGTTTACTGCCATTCAAATGGTTAAACAAGTGAAGATGGTCAACTTTATGGAGGTACTATGCCCACTTTCTGGAATGTATAGTTGAAGTTGATCCATAACTGTGTTTGTGATCAACAACATGACAAAAAAATTCAACTTTCTAGTCAACTTCATCATCCTTTATTTTTTGTTTTGTTGTTCTTTAGGGCAATCTCATGCCCACAATGGCAATTGTGGCATTCTATGATATGGCTGTGTACAGTGTATGAGTTATGTCCTTACTTTTTTGAATATATTTTTTAAGTTGATCTAAAATTGTGTTTGTGCATTCAACAATTCTAATTAAAAAATAAAATAAAATAAAATCAACTTTCCAAATCAACTTCACCACCCTTTATTTTTCGTGGCCAAACCCTTTGAGACTTTAGATCTCCGAATCCATGAAATTTTCTTGTTTGTTGCATTGGAAATGGTGTGAATGGCCACAAAATTTGTAAGATTATACACTTCTTCTTTGTTGAGTTTTGTACATGAAAGTAGCTTTGATCTAAGTGTCACTTTGTTAATTTTGCTTTATACAATTATAGTATGAACACATTTTCTTTTTTCAGAAAAATAAATAAATAAATAAATTATTTTGAATGGGATTACAGATGCAAGAATTGTATCTTCCATAAATCTTAAGATTAGACTAGTGAAAGAATCACATGCAACCCACATGACCAGTTAATTTTGTAAGTGCTTGCAATAATATAAGTTTGAAATTTCATTACCTGTTTGTGTAACATTAAACAGGAATCTAGACCACTACTAAGAGGAAGCCCCTTGGCAAGCCTAGAGATTTATGGGAGAAGAGTAATGAGAACTCCATCCATATGAGGATGGATTTTGTTAATGCGAAAAGAGAAAACACCAAGGGAGGGGTTTAACAACCCAATTTAGGTTGGTCAGTTGCCTAAGACTAGAGTTTGGTGACTTGGTCAGCCAAAGTATGATGGTTGATTAAGGCAAGTTTGAAGAGCTAGGTGGAATTCTTGAGTGAAACCAATTTTGAATGAAAGCAGACCTCTGAAACTTTAATTACAACATAAATTTCGCCCAATTTACTGTTGATATGAGTATTTTAGAGTTTTGAAGTTTCCTTTTTTGCCCATATAAACCTAATGGGTATGATGGTCGATTACCTTTGTAACTCAGTCAGCCATCCCATTGTTTAGTTGACCAACTCTGATCAACATTCAAAAGGGTTTTGACTAACCTTTAGACGCTTGGCTAACCGTCACCCCCATTTGTTATTTATTGAAGAATAAGGCCTTCTAGAATGTCAAGCCACATCTTATGCACTCATTATCACTTTCCTATGTGTTTAATCATCTAACATTCATATTCTTCAACACAAGCCTTTAAGAACATTTTTTTTTTTGGACTCAGTTGGTGTGCTTGCTTTATGGAACGTATATCTTCTCGTCCTAGTGTTGTGTTGATATACTATTTTAATCTCACCATACTAGTCTCACTTGCTTTGGAACTCTTCTTACAACTCATTTTCTAGACTTTGTATAATTTAATGATGTGTTATCCTTTTAGTTTGGTGTGTGTTGTTCTATTTCAGTCTGTTGGTTTTCTATTGTTAATGTTAATATGGTAGAGGTTGAGGGTGGAACCCATTGAAGAGCACTGTAAAAGTTTTTATTGTAGCCATTGAAAACCAGATTTATGTTAATGGTTGGAATCAGGCAAAGGAAGACGACAGTGAATACACTAAAGTCACCAAACCACTATAAAAGTTTCATATAGTTTTTCCTTTTCATTTTTGCATTTAAACTCTAGTAAGGTGGGACCAATTCATTTTATACCTTCTAAAGCTTGGCTTGCAACATTATCCAGAGGGGGATAGGGCTAATGGCAGCAAAAGGTATTCCACGAGATGGGAAATAACTACACTCATTAGGGATACTGAGAAATCACACAAAGAAGTATGGGCCATAGGGGAAAAAATAGAAACAGAAGTGGTATGTATATGTTATGAAGTGAGCCATGTGTGTAGAGAGCTCCATGTTTTGTTCAAGAATAAGATGAAAGTGTTGTGTGTCACCTATCAATGGAGTCATGTGAAGAGAACTGTTTAGGAATAAAAAATTAGCCCAAAAAACTTGATAAATAAAAATGGAGCTGTTACGTAGTTTATATGTGGTGTATATATATAAACTCTGATCTAATATTGGAATTGGCTAGTAATGCATCTGACAGTTGGCTTTCAAGAAATAGTAATTATTTCCATCAAGTTTCATGTTACAGGAATAAGGTGTATACCTTTTCATGGAGGGCTGCTAAGGATTCCATCATCAATTGTGTCTGGACATAATCAATAAACAGGAAGCATCAAATATGGAATAGAGAAGTTTCGCAAAGAAGCTGAATGCAAGTGAATGTGAATATCTTACAACCAAACAAAAGTACAAGTAAGCCATAGAAAGTAAATATTTGCATGGAGAACACTAATAAAAATAAAAATAGATAAGTAAATGATTATGTAGATTAATGAACCAATACTAGATAAATTATATGTAGGAGTGATCAGAGATGCCATTTTAAATTTCTCGATCTACATAAGGTCTTCTTTGAAAGCAATTGTATTTTTTAATATGTAACTTGGTTGTTTCAGTCAATTTTTTATCTACATTTTTGGTATGAAATGTTATTTGATCTGTTGCAATTCATGTTCGTGATTAGAGGATTGAGCTTTTAGATCTGAGTTGTATATGGCAAAAATTAGTGGTGGAGAGAAAAACAATATTTGAAAGAGATTTTAAAGTTTTGTTACTATTTGATGTTGAAACTCTAATAAAACTTAAAAGCTGCGGAAGGTGATGCTTGTGACTTGGTTGTTTCAATCAGTTTTTGATCTAAAATTTTCAAAGAAATTGTTGTTTGATCTTTATGCATTTCAGGTGAGTGATGGAAGGATCTAGTTTTTAGATCCAGGTTTACTCTTTTTTTATATGTCAAAAGTGATTTGCTTGTAAACAAGATTTGAAAGAATATCTAAAAAAATTTCATGTAATGATACTTGATGTAGATACTTAAGTACCACCCAAAAATTGTGCTAAGTGAAGCTCTGAGTTTTTTCAAATTTTTATGTTAATTGGTTCCCAACGTCGCAGTCATACACTGGTTGCCAAACGCATCATAGGATTTGCCTATGTTTGATGCTCTGTCTTGAAAGGAGTGGGTATATGCAACAAACGTGTATTCTGTTTTTTTTTTTTTGATCAGCAAAAAGAGAACTTTATTGATGGAAAGGAAAATTACATCAATAAAGTGGAACTTGGAGCTAAAACAAGCTCCAACCTCCAAGTTGGTGAGAAACCAACGAGCAAACACAACAAAGAAAAAACCAGAAAAAATAGATAGCTTAGGCACTACAATCACCAAAAATGAATTCCCACAGCTCAAACATAGCAAACCAAACCCACTCATCTCTATTAATATGTGATGGGGTAACAGCCAAAACATGATATTCTCCTTGGAGTATATAACAGCATCAGACCCACTATGTGTACCAAATCTCATAACCCGCATGCACCTACCCCCATCTACCAACAGCAGACCAATTTTGAATTAAACTGCAAAATTCCAGCAAGAGTCAACCTGGGAGCTAAGAAGGCAGATAGACTTCCCAAACAACACAGCCCATTAACCCTTTGCCTTCAGCCTTCCCACTATAGCAGACCAAAAATCATCCATAGCATACCAAAATAACTTATGGCTTTTAGCTTTGAAAAAGTTATTTTGGACTGTTTGGTTAAACTTATTTCAAACAGCTTCTGATTCTAACAGCTTATTTTAATTCAAAAAAGCTGATTCTGAGAAGCTGCTCACCCCTTACTTCTGATTATCAACTTCTGCTGTGGACATGTTAATTTATGGTTATACTCTTAAATTTTGTTATTTTTTATTTTTTTAAAAATAGAAAAAAAACCAAATGGACTATAGATTATTATTATTATTTTTTATGAGAAATGTAGAGAAACAAAAAATAAAAATTAATTGAAAAAGCTATTTCACAGCTTATTTAACAAGCACTACTCAGCAACTTTGAAAAAGTTATTTTGGACTGTTTGGTTAAACTTATTTCAAACAGCTTCTGATTCTAACAGCTTATTTTAATTTAAAAAAGCTGATTCTGAGAAGCTGCCCACCCTTGCTTCTGATTATCAGCTTCTGCGTGGACATGTTAATTTATGGTTATACTCTTAAATTTTGTTATTTTTTATTTTTTTTAAAATAGAAAAAGACCCAAATGGACTGTAGATTATTATTATTATTTTTTATGAGAAATGTAGAGAAACAAAAAATAAAAATTAATTGAAAAAGCTATTTCACAGCTTATTTAACAAGTACTACTCAGCAACTTAAATCTATAATCCAACAGTTACACCAAACAGATTAACAACTTCTGATTAAAGTCATAATCTATGATCTGTTAAGTTATAATCTATAAGCTGTTTTAACAGCTACACCAAACGGAGTTAAGGCCTAAATAAAGGCCCATTACAGCAAATAAAGAGACTGAATGAGAATAAAAATGGGAAATATCCTAGCACATTCTAACACTCCCCCTCAAGCTGGTGTGAAGATATCTCTCAAGCCCAGCTTGTCGAGAATGTCACGGAACGGTTTAATCTCTAATCCTTTGGTAAGAACATCAGCCAATTGATCCCCAGACCGCACGAAAGGCATACATATAGTGCCCCTAGTAAGTTTTTCCTTGATAAAATGCCGATTAATCTCCATATGCTTGGTCCGATCATACTAAACCGGATTGTGGGCTATATTAATGGCGGCCTTATTGTCGCAATATAGCCTCATAGAATCTGTCTGATGAATCCCCAAATCCCGCAATAATAATGTAATCCATAAAAGCTCACACATACCTTGAGCCATAGCTCTGAATTCGGCCTCTACACTAGACCGCTCAGCAACATTTTGTTTCTTGTTTCTCCAAGTAACTAGATTTCCGCCAACGAAGGTACAATAGCCAGAGGTGGATCTTCTATCAGTTACTGAGCCAACTCAATCAGCATTTGTATGTGCCTTCACACTGAGATGACTATGCTTTAAGAAATAAAGACCCCTTCCCAGGGAAGATTTCAAGTATCTCAGAATCCGCATAACCGCCTCTAAGTGAGTTGCACGTGGAGCATGCATAAACTGACTAACCATACTCACTGCAATAGCAATATCAGGCCGCGAATGGGATAAGTAAATAAGCTTACCCACTAGTCTCTGGTATCTCCCCCTGTCTACAGGCTCGCCTCCTTCATCCTCACTAAGCTTTAGTCCGTGTTCTAGTGGTGTATCATATGCTTTATTTCCAAGCATTCTAGTTTCTCTTAGCAAATCAAGCACATACTTTCGTTGACATATGAAGATACCATCTTTGGACCGAGTAACCTCAATGCCTAGAAAGTACTTCAAGTTGCCTAAGTCTTTGATTTCAAACTCATTAGCCAAATACTCCTTTAACCAAGGAACCTCCTCAACATCATCCCCTGTGAGTACAATATCATCCACATGGACAATGAGGGCTATCGTTTTACCATGTGAGGAGTGTTTCACAAACAAAGTATGATCAACTTGACTTTGTTTGAGACCATATCTCTACATGGCCTGAGTAAACCTCTCAAACCAAGCCCGAGGAGACTGCTTAAAGCCATAAAGTGACTTGCGTAATCGGCACACCTTTCTTGTGGTTTTAACATCCTCAAAGCCAAGGGAAATGTCCATGTACACTTCTTCTGCCAGATCTCCATGGAGGAAAGCATTTTTCACATCAAATTGATGGAGAGGCCAGTCAAGATTAGATGCAAAGGAGAGAAGGACTCTAACAGAACTCATCTTAGCAACCGGTGCAAATGTCTCCTGATAGTCTACTCCATAAGCCTGAGTAAAACCCTTGACCACCAATCTAGACTTGTAACGTTCAATTGAACCATCGGCTTTGTGCTTTACAGTGTACACCCACTTACATCCAACAGGTCGTTTGCCCTTAGGTAACACAGCCAATTCCCAAGTGCCATTTTTAGCAAGTGCTCTCATCTCCTCCATCATGGCATGCTTCCACTCAGGAGTAGAAAGAGCATCCTGAAAATTGGAAGGAAAACTCACAGAAGAAACTTTAGACAAAAAAGATTTATAGGAAGAAGACAGATTAGTGTAGGAGACAATGAGAAATAGGATGTTGAGTACACGACCTAACCCCCTTCCTTTTAGCAATGGAAACATCTAGATCAGAAAGAATTGAGTTACCTGGAGGTTCACCAGAAGGAGAGGATTCTGGACACTCATCAAAAGAAGAAGACAGCAGTGGAGAATCCGAATTGGTCTCTTGTACTCAAGTAACTTTCTGTCTACCCTTGTCCCTGACATACACTTTGCCGTCTTTCACTGCAGATGGAAAGTCAGCATTCTCAATAGTTGGATCATCAGTAATAATAGTCTCAAGAGTCGCAATAACTGATGGTGATGGTAGTGATACAGGAGTCTCTTCACACCAAGGCTCCCCCTGAAGAGATGACGGGGACACCGGGGAGGAGAGAAAATAAGACTGAGATTCAAAGAAAGACACATCCATAGAGACAAACCATTTGCGAGAGGGGGGATGATAACACTTGTAGCCCTTTTGAGTGTCGGAGTAACCCAAGAAGACACACCGAAGAGACCGAGGATCCAACTTACTACGGGTAAGAGAATGGTTATGAACAAAGCACACTCACCCAAAGGTTTTGGGAGGAATGCAGAAGGCAGTAGAAGCTTGGAAGCCGAACAAAACCTGAAGAGGAGTTTGTTTATGAAGAACCTAGATAGGAAGCCGATTGATGAGGAACGCAGTAGTGAGAACCGCTTCCCCCCAATAGGATCGAGGAGCGCGTATTTCAAAGGATAAACAACGCGCAATATCAAGAAGATGCCGGTTTTTACACTTGGCAACACCATTCTGTTAAGGGGTATTGGTACAAGAAGTTTTATGAATATACCATGAGTTGCAAAATAGCTAGCAAGTCCAGAATCAATGTATTCCCCTCTATTATCAGAACGCAGAATTTTGACAACTGCCCCAAATTGAGTGCAAAGCATTTTATGAAAATTTTGAAACACAAAAAATACCTCACATTTGTCCTTCATAAGATACACTCAGGTGGTCCTAGAACAATCATCAATAAAGGTGACAAACCATCTTTGACCCTTTAAAGACACAAAACGAGAGGGACCCCATACATCAGAATGAATCAAAGAAAAAGGAACTAAACTTTTATTAATAGAAAGAGAAAAAGAAACTCTGTGTTGTATGC